TACAATATTAATTCTTCCAATCCATGAGCATGGGAGGTCCTTCCATCCTCTGATGTCTTCCTCAGTCTCTTTCTTTAAAGATTTAAAATTTTCATTGTGGAGATCTTTAATGCCTTTGGTCAGGTTTATTCCAAGATATTTTATTTTATTTTTTTGCAGCTATAGTGAAGGGGATTGTTTCCATGTACTCTTTCTCTGATTGCTTGTTATTGGTATATAGAAAGGCTACTGACCTTTGTAGATTAATTTTGTAACCTGCCACTTACTGAAAGTGTTAATCATTTCTAGGAGTTTTCTTGTGGAATTTTTGGCATGTCTTAGATACAATATATCGTCTGCAAAAAGGGATAATTTGACCTCTTCTTTTCCAATTATTACTCCTTTAATTTCCTTCTCTTGTCTTAGTGCTCTTGCAAGAGTTTCGAGCACTCTGTTAAAAAGGAGTGGAGATAATGGACAGCCTTATTTGCTTCCTGATTTTAATGGGAATGATTCCCATTTTTCTCCATTTAGAATGATGTTGCCTGTGGGTTTGTTATATATGGCTTTAATTATGTTGAGGTATGTTCCCTCCAGTCCAATTCCCTCTAGGACTTTGAATATAAATGCATGTTGAATTTTGTCGAAGTTCTTCTCTGCATCTATTTGAATAACCATGTGGTTCTTGACTTTGAGTCCATTTATATGATTTATGACGTTTATTGACTTACATATATTGAACCATCCCTGCATCCTGGAATAAAGCTGACTTGATCATGGATGATCTTTTTGATGTGTGTCTGTATATGGTTTGCAAGTATCTTGTTGAGAATTTTTGCATCTATGTTCATTAAGGATATGGGTCTATAGTTTCCTTTTTTGGTTGTATCTTTACCTGACTTTAGTATTAGAGTGATGCTGGCTTCATAGAAGGAATTTGGAAGCTCTCCCTCTATTTCTATCTTTTCAAATAAATTAAATAGTATTGGATATAGATCTTCTTTAAATGTCTGGTAGGATTCTGCTGTAAATCCATCTGGTCCTGGGTGTTTTTTATTCAGGAGGTTTTGTGTTACTGTTTCAATTTCCTTATGTGTTATGGATCTGTTTTAGCTGTTGATTTCTTCTTGATTTAGTTTTGGTGGTTCCCATGCTTTTAGATACTGATTTATTTCTTTAGGTTTTCAAATTTAGTAGTGCATAGGTTTTTAAAGCATTACTTTATAACGTTCTGAATCTTTTTGGTTTTTTTTTGTGATGTTCCCCCTTTCATCTCTGATTTTGTTCATTTGGAGGTGCTCTTTTTTTTTTTTTTTTTCTTTTGGTTAACTGGGCTAGGGATCTGTCAGTCTTGTTTATCTTTTTAAGGAGCCAGCTCTTGGATTCGTTGATTCTTTGTATTGTTTTCTTTGTTTTTATTTCATTAATTTCTGCTCTGATTTTTGTCATTTCTTCTTGTCTGCTGGGTTTGGGTTTCATTTGTTTTCGCTTTTCAGGTGTCTTGAGTTGCAATATTAAGTCATTTATTTGAGTTCTTTCTGATTTTTTAATGTAGGCAGTTAGAGCTATAAACTTCCCTCTAAGGACTGCTTTCATCATGTCCCAGAGGTTTTGTTGTGTTGTATTGTCCTTTTCATTTAACTCCAGGAATACTTTTATTTCTTTCTTAATTTTTGACCCATTCATCATTCAGGAGTGTGTTGTTTAATCTCCGTGTGTTCATGTAGCTGTTAGGGTTTCTTCCAGTGTTGATTTTAAGCTTTATTGCATTGTGGTCTGATAGACTGCATGGAATTATTTCAATCTTTTTGTGTTTGTTGAGGCTTGTTTTGTGCCCCAGTATATGGTTGATTTTCGAGAAAGCTCCATGGGGCACTGAATAGAAAGTATTTTCTCTGGTGGTTGGGTACAATATTTGCTAGATGTCTATTACGTTCATTTATTATATGGTATTGTTTAATTCCAATGTCTCTGTTAATTCTCTGTGTTGTTGACCTATCTAATTGTTCAATGGGGTAATGAAGTCCCCTACTATTAATGAGTTGGGATTAATCTGGGTCTTAAAGTCCTGTAGTACTGTTTTTATGAAGTTGGATGCACCAGAGTTTGGTGAGTATATTTTCATGATTGTAATATCTTCTTGATCAGTTTTTTCTTTGATCAGAATGAAGTGGCCCTCTTTTGCTCTTCTGATTAAATTTAGTTTGAAGTCTATTTTGTCAGATAATAGAATTGCAGCGCCTGCTTTTTTCATAGTACAATTTTTTTCCATCCTTTCATAAGGTAGTGCCTGTCCTTGAAAGTGAGATGAGTTTCTTGCAGACAACAAAAAGATGGGTTTTGTTTCTTAATCCATTCAACTAGTCTGTGTCTTTCGACTGGGGAGTTCAGTTCATTGATATTTAAAGTTATCAACTAAAGATGTGTATTGATTCCTGTCATTTTATTTCTATTCACATTCTTGGTGTTGCTATGCATTTCCGGAGTTATGCCTTCATTAAGTTTCTTTCTGTATCCTCTTGGGTATAGTCATTCCTTTCTTCAGCTCTTTGTATTCCTTCAAGAACTCTCTGAAGGGCTGGTTTTGTGGACATGAATTCTTTCAGCCTATTTATGTTATGGAAGATTTTCCTTTCCCCTTCGACTATAATAAACATTTTGGCTGGATAAAGTAATCTGGGTTGTCATCTCTGGTCATTTAGAACTGGCAATACGTTGGTCCAGGCTCTTCTGGCTTTCATAGTTTGCAGTGAAAAGTCAGCTGTAATCTTGATGGGTTTTCCTTTATATGTGACTTGTTTTTCTTTTGCAGCTTCAGTATTCTCTCTTTGTTCTGCACATTTAGTGTTTTTAGTATGATGTGCTGTGGAGAGTTTCTTTTCTTGTCCTATTGGTGTTCTATATGCTTCTTATATTTTTATGAGCATGTCTTTTTTTAATTTGGGCAAATTTTCTTCTACAATCCTGTTGAAGATCTTTTCCATACCATTATCCTGAGATTCTTCTTCTTCCTGTATGCCTATGATTCGTAAATTTGGTCTTTTTATGGTGTCACACATTCCTGCATATCCCATTCTTGTCTTTTCTTAAATTTTTCATGAATCTTTGCTTGAGTGGTGTAATTGTCAGTTTTAGCTTCCAGTCTTGATATTTTGTTTTCCATTTCATTCACCCTATTCGTGAGGCTTCTCTGTCGTTTCCAATTGGTTTATTGACTGTTTCATTTCCTTCTTCATTTCAGCCTGAGTATTCTTTGGTATTTCTAACTTTTTTCTGAATTCATTCAGAAGTTTATCCCTATTGTCTTTCAGTTCTTTGGTTTCTTTGTGTGTTCTTTAAATTCACTGAATTCTTTTATCATGTTTATAATTGTTCTTTTGAACTCCATGTCCTGTGTTATCTCTTGCGGTTCCCATTGTAGTCCTCTACAGGACTGTTGGTACTTGGTGGGGATATATTATTTGGATTTTTCATGTTATTATTTTTTCAATGTGATTTTGACATGTGGATTTCTTTTGTAGTTTCTGATTCTTATATGAGACTCAAACCTTCCTTTGTTGAGTTTAGGTCTGCTTCTTTATGTAATCTTATATGCCTCTGTGGCTTACTTGTTGGGCATGAAAGCTGGTTGGTCTAGGCTTCAGTTTCTCTCTTTTGATTTTATATTGGAGGGGCCAAATTGCTTTTATCTTTCTGCTCAGGCATTCCCACAGAGGCCCAGGTTGGTAGAAGATCAGATGCTCTCAGGCTTTCTCCTGTGGTCTGGATCCCTCCAGAAATGATGCTGTCCTCAGGAATTTGGGGGTTGGGCTGGCCTAGAACCAGGGCCTAGGAAAAATACTGGCCCAGGATGCTGGGGGCCTGGGCTGCCCAGGCATGCAAATTGAGGCAGGTTGGGAACAGGCTCTGAGGTCTCCCAGAGACTTAGAGGGAGGACTTGGATTGGTCTGGATGCAAAGGATCAGGAAGCCGTGGGCAGTCTGACCAAGAGGTCAGTCCAGAGGTCTGGGGCGCCAAGACAAGAAATGGGCTAGTACCCATGCTAGGAGGACAGATAAGGTGGGGGATCTGGCAGGGTGAATGAGGCTGGGGTAGTCAAGGCACAGTGGGTGCTACAGAAATTAACCAGGACAGATGCTGGCCCCAGGAGGCTGGGGGGCTGGGCCTCCTAGAGATGCAAAGTAAGGCAGGGTGGGAACCCGCCCCAAGGACTCCTGGAGAGTAGAGGGAGAAATTGGGTTGGTCTGGATGCAAAAGATCAGGAAGCAGTGGGGAGTCTGGCCAGGAGGTCAGTCCAGAGGTCTGGGGTACCAAGACAAGAAATGGGCCAGTGCCCACACTAGGAGGAGAGATGGCATATTTTTCTTAAAGCATAGAATTTATTTCAAACTGGTGATTTTTAGAAAATATTTCTTACCCTGGCACAAGTATTAGGATAGAAAATACTAATCAGTATGGGAGACAGAGCTAGGAAAACAGGAATTATAACAGTTTACCTCAGGTCCTTGGATGATAACCTTCTTGGGTCTTTAGGGAGATTATTTATATTGTAGTTTTAGTTTGTGATTGAGGAAACTCTTTTACTAATGCATGTATTCTGTGTTTGACAGGGTCCATACCCATTGAAACATGAAGCTGACGCAGATCTCATCAATGCAGGTAAATTTACTTCATAGTTTTCAACATTTTTCTTTGCTACTAATTTAGTTCTGTGCCAAACAGTAGCTACTATATATTTGAACCCAATTTCTTGTTTCTTTCTAGAGAGTCTTGCATGGTATTTGACTGATGAGGGAAATGAGTCTTTCTATTCTTGAGGCCTCCTCTCATTCAGGCTTGATTGGAATAAAGGAGTAATGCAGGTGGTGGTATCTTTAATGGCAGAAGTTAGGTGCATTAGCTGGAGTCCTGCCTGTAAATGGAGAATGCACCCTTGCTTGCTGTTATTGAGAAGAGTTGAAGGACAGGACAATGACCAGGGTTTGGATAGCATGAAGGACACTCAAAAAGGATAATGATGTCCCACAGGGAAGTATTCTTATACATAGCCTTAAGGGGCAGTTACGGTAGAGAGCCACCCAATGGGAACTATGGCTGTTGGTTGAAGAACACCAATTTGCAGAACCCTTGGTGTACTAAAGAGAATCTCTGGGGTCTCCTGCCTCCCATTGGTCAGTGCCAAGTGGAAATGTGCCAGGATTCTCTGGAAGGAGAAAATGGAAATGGGTCCATCACTGTTGATGTAGTCTAGTCCTTTTTAGGGGAGAAGGCTTCCTCTAAAGAGTCAGGATTGCTTAAGGCTGTACTGGGTCACTAAGTATATGCCAAGGATATGAACAAAAATATGGAGTTTCTTTGAGAAAGGGGACTCCAGCATTGTCTTCTCCTTTGTTCCTGTAGTCATATGCTTCGCTTTTTATTACCAGCCTGCTGTTTGACAAGGACACAGAATGCATTAGCAGGCCAGAGAATGACTAGGGCAGGCCTTTTGGCTCTAGTCATTATGCTTGAGGCAACACTGCTGCTGTGGTGGCCTTCAGCTCATCCTTGGAGTGGGGCTGCCCATGAGAATCCAATTTCTATGTTCTAACAGGATTTTCAGTACCCTTCTTTAATTCATTCCACCCCCACAAAAGTATTATCTTAGTTTGCATTAAAAATAGTATGTGTAAGTCTCAGAAGCAATAAGAGCTGAACATAAAGGCCAGCTGTAAGTAGAACTGATGTCTGAAACTTGGAGTTTGGAAGTTAATACGGATTCTGGTTAGATATTTGAATTAGCTAACACAACTCAGCTCTGAAAAGCTCACTGTGATAACAATGACATTTAACCAACGCTCTAATATAATTGTACTGTTTCCTTTAGCAGTAGCTCATTGATCTGTGAAAATATTTGCTGCTTCTTTAATTTATTATGTTAGTGAGTTATTTGCAAAATTAGTAATTCCATTCCAAATTTCAGGCTGGAGCTTGTAAAATCCGGTTTCCTTGGAAGAATGGTTGATCTTTTCAGTTGCTTTGTTAGACAGGAGGTGTTTATGAATCTGTGGAGGTTAAAAGTAGCTCAGTCCCAGCAAAGCTACTGGTTTTCTCTTTCAGGTTCTAAAATGCCACATATAATCTTATAGTACTTTGTAAAACAAGAGTCCCAGCTGTGGATAGGCCGAATGATGTTCTGACTCTCTCATTGTTACTCTTTTTATGGTTTTTATTGCTTTGGATTTGAAGCTATACAACATAGGAACTTCTAGTTAGCAAACCTAGAGTAAAAATTGGTGCTTTCTTCAGCTTCCTTCCAGGACATTGCCCGGAATATCAGCCTGTTGGTTTGGTTAATTTGTGAAAATTACTTTGGATGAAATGAGTTATATTTATGAATATAGTTATTAATATTGCAAAATAATAAAATTACATCCATTGAGCCCCTTTCCTAGTTTCCTAAGGTTGTATGAAACGAATTACTTGGGATAACACCATATGCTTTGTGTGTGTGTGTGTGTGTGTGTGTGTGTGTACACGCATGTAGGTGTGTGGTGTGTATGCATGTGGTATATGTTCAGGTGCATGTGCCTGTGTGCGTGCAGAGGCCAGAAGAGGACATTGGATGTCTTCCTCTGTCACTCTCTGCCTTGATCCTTTGAGGCAGTGTCTCTTGTTGTACTTGGAGCTTGCAGCTTTTGAATATTACATGTATTTATTTATGTTTGTGTGTATGCAGGGCTGGAGTAGCACTGAGCTCACCATGTGGTCCTGGGAATTGAGTCAGGTCGTCAGGCTTAGAAGCAAGCACCTTTACATGCTGAGCCATCTCACCAGCCTTAGCTTGCATTTCCAGCCAGGCTAGCAGCCAGCAAGCCCCAGTAATCCTCCTGTCTGCCCTGACCCTCCATGCTGTGATTCCAGGTGTGTGCAGGACTGGGCCTAGCTTTTATGTGGATGTTGGGATCCAAACTCCAGTCCTTATGCTTGCTCTGGAAGGACCCTTACCCTACTGAGCCATCTCTCCATCCTAACACCATAGGCTTTTTAGGATGGGTTATAGTTTGGTCCTCAAGTGAAAGACCATTATACAGGTTTGGAAACTGAGGCCCAGAAAAGTGATGTGCTCAAGGTAACACTGTTAGGGACTGAGCTCCTTATATTCTCTTGTTCCTTATCCTTGAATCTTTTTCATATACTGAGTTACAGCTGTGGAAAAGCTAACTTTACAGAGACACAGATAGCAGTGCTTAGGACATTTCAGGGACCTATGAAAATCTGGATAGTAGCTTCGTGTAACTGAAATTTTAATACTTCTAGTACTTTTGCTTTTTGTTAAATGTGCATTTTGCATCTTTTCCAATTTCTTGATGTTTTCTTGTTTTGTTTGTTTTTAAGATTTATTTTTATTATTTCTAATTGTGTGTTTGTGTGTGTGTCTGCATGTGGTTTGTGTCCATGAATGCAGTGCCAACAGAAGCCAGAGGTGTCAGATTCCCTGGAGCTAGTGCTGTTTTTTTAATTTTTTTTTGTCTTTTTATGCTATTTAACTTTTTATTACTGTATTTTAAAATTAATTTAATTTTAATTAATTTAATTTATTACTATATTTTAAAATTATTTTTTAACTGAATTTTTGCTAATTTCATATGCTTTGGTCATATTTAGATTGTCTCCCATATCTGCACCCTCCCTCTTTTCTAACACCCCACCAAATTTCTATACTGTAAATATTTATAAAGGCCTATAAAGTCAGGTTTGTGTCCCCAAATGCCCTTCACTGGTCAACCTAAGAGTCTCACCCTTAAACAAGACTGAATCTCCCCATCCCAGCAGTCATTTGTTATCAGTAGTTCCTCAGGTGATGTTGTGGTTTCTTACCCACCTCTATGCTGGAATTTTGTCTGGCTTGAGCTTGTATGGGACTTGTCCATGCTGTCAGTATTGCTGTGAGTTCACATGAGTAACTGCCCAGTTGTCTGGAAAGTGCTGTTTCTTTGTGGTCATCCACCATCTCTAGCTCCTACAGTCTTTTTGCCCCCTCTTCTGCAATGATCCCTGAGCCTTGGGAAGCAGAAATTTTATATAGCAGTCCTATTCAGAGATGTTCAGTCTGCAGCCTCTTATTTGCCCATTTGCCGGTTGTGGGTTTCCGTGATAATCACCATTTGCTGCTTAGGGAAGCTTTCTGGTGAGAATTGAGAGATGCATTAATCTATAACAAGAAGTCATTGCAAATCAGTTTAATATTATATCTATATAGCAACTTAGTTATATTAAGCTTTCTTTCTTGGACTATAGGCTGTTTCACTTTAGGCTCCTAGTCCTGATATCATTGTCATGTATGGGCTCCATGCTATGAAGCAGACCTTAAATCCAATGAGAAAGTAGTTGGTTACTCCTGTAATATTAGTGCCACTGTTACATTGGTGGGCATATCTTTTAGGTCAGTTGTTGTAGCTCACAGGATTCACAGCTGAATAAGTAAGGCTCATGCTAAATTTTCTCTTCAGATAGTTTGCATAACACCTTCCAGCACTGTGAAAACTGGGTAGTAGAGATGAGACTTGAAGGCAGCCAGCACTAGTTGGATTTCTCCTCATTTGTTATACAGCTCATGTGTGTCTTCAGCAATAGGGTCTTAGTGTGAAGTTCTGATGGGTAACCAAGAGTAGGGGCAATGGCCAGTATTGTTTGAGGGACTGTAGGACACCTGGTCATCAGGTTCTAGAAAGGGAGTCCATACCTCTCATCGAGCTTTTATTTTCCAAGCCCGTGTTGTCTAGTAGCAGCAGTATCCCTCTGTTATAAGGTAAGTCCTTTTAACGTCTTTATAATGTATGTTTATGCTTTAAGCTTCTATAGTGGCAGGTTTCCATATGTCTTTCTCTAAAGGCCTTTAAGTGTTAGTTACCCTACCCCATTCTCCCTCCATTGCCCGACCCTCCTATTCTCCACCCTCTTTTGCCCTCCCTACTCCTACTCTTATTCCCTTTCTCCCTTTATAGCATTACATTCTACCTTCCCTTCTAGGAAGCCCCCCACCCATTGGCTGTTTATTAGTTTCTTGACCTCTTTGGATTTTCAGATTGAAACATAAATATCAAGATTTCAAAGCTAGCGTCCAGCTATGAGAGAAAACAAGCAATGTTTGTCTTTTTTGATCTGGGTTACTTCACTCAGGATGATTTTCATCCATTTACCTGCGAATTTTATAATTTAGTTTCTTTAAGAGCTGAGTAAGATTCCATTATGTATATGTGCCACACTTTAATTATCCATTCATCAGCTGATGAACATCCAGGTTGTTCTCAGTACCTGGCTAATATGAAAAGGACAGCAATGAAAATGGATGAACAGGCAGTTCTATAGTAAGGTATAGAATCTTTTGGGTATATGCCCATCAGTGGTCTGGCTGGGTCATATGGTAGATCAGTTTTGAGTTTTTTGAGGAATCTCCACACTGATTTTCATAGTGGCTGCACAAATTTGCACTCCCACCAGCAGTGAATATGTTCATCTTTCCCCAGCGTTTTTCATTTTTTCTTTTTTGGATCTTAGCAATTCTGACTGGGATAAGATGAAATCTCAAAGTGGTTTTGATTTACTGTTTCCTGATAACTAAAGATGCTGAACAATTTTTAAAGTATTTCTCAGACATTTGTGTTTTGTCTTTAGAG